TAAGCAAAAATGCTCCTTTTCTGTTCAATTTAAGTTACTTATGTCAAGTTAAAAAGTATCCAGTTCACCACAGTCTAAATGCCTACACTATCAGCACTTTTGTTAAACAGATCCTCCTTTCCTATCCATGCTGTAATAAAGGTGGGTAGCTTGGCCCATACCAAATGAGAAAGATGTGATGTTCTGTTCCCTGTGATTCTCATCCTGTAAGGGTAAAGTTTATCTTAGAAAAACAATTTGAGATGGTTAAAGCATCCATTAACCACAGGAATTGTTCCCTACTTCAGGCAAACAATCAAAATAAAAGCTATTGAAATGTATGCATTTCCTAAAGTAGGACTTATGTGTATTCTTTTGTTCTATTATCTACATACTTCTTTTTACGTTGTTTGCTGTATCATTTGATGTATTTTCCCTCCTGTGCATATTTTTAGTTGCCATAGGAACTTTCCTATTTCCTGTCAGCTGACACAGCTGTTTAATAGTATTAACTATATAAAAGGGGGTTGATTCTGGCACTCTAAATGCTGAGAAAGGCCTCAGCTAGGCAAAACACATTTCAGTTTTCTCTTTTTGTTCTTTTCTTTCTATCAACAATATTTATGAAAAAGGTAGACAGAGTATTAACATCTGGAAATGCTGGCTGTTTCTAGTGGCTAAGTGTAGATCCTTTTCAGTCTTGTTTTTTGATTTGGTGTCAGCTTTCTCCTGCTACCAAAATATAAAGATAGGAAATATAATCTTTTGTTTAATTGGCTTGTGGTTTTGGTGTCTTCAACCTAATCTTTCTTTATTTCCTTTTCTAAAGAAAAGAAACTAAACTTTGCTATTAAAATTAATATTAGTGAAATCAAATCATGCCATTAGCACAAAAGTCTCCAAAGAATGTTTTTTGAGAATCCCAGCTCGCTTTCCAAAATGTAATAAGCCCTTTAGCTAATGCCAATTTTTCTACCAGTTATACTGTGTAAGCAGAAGAGAGACATAGAATGACTGAAACTGGCTGGCAGCCATGTTACTTTGACCTGTATGCTGTCACTTCCCGTACCCATATTTTTATCAACTCTAAAATTTCGAAAATACCGATTTTGATCATGAACAGAAACTGTTTTCATTCATTACTTGGATCATGAATTGATACTATTTTCAAGAATAACACTTAATCAATAGAATGTAAAATGGCATTAGCAGTTTTACTTTACTTGCAAATGGCACTGAAACAGCCTCTTTCTGGAAAAATATTAATATTGGAGCAATGTTCTTATTAATTATAACAATACATGAATCCTTTGCATGCTTTTTTCCTAATTTATGCCACTCTACTTTTCTTCATATAACTGAAGAAAAGTGTGCAACTTGGAATGGGGCAACCACTCCATAAATTATTTCAAAACAACTTACATGTTTATAACTTCAGAAAACAATTCCCCATATACGATTAAGTTATGCAAATATTATTCAAAGCCTGCTAAAAATCAAAGAGAATATTTCTATTGAATTTGTGGCATTCTGGATGAGTTGATTTGCACCTTAGAATAGTTAAGTCTATAGGGTGCAAATCTACCCTGCCTTCTGATTGACTTCAGACTAACACAGCTGCCTCATTCTGGATGCATGCCACAGAGTGGAAAAGCCAGATTGTGCTTCCTCACATATATATCACCTCTTCATGGGGTCTTTTTAGTGTTGTGATACCAAACTTTATTTGGAAACAGTCCATAGTAACATACCATGCATACAACAGCTAATGCTAGTGCTGTAAGTGCCTCAGCTACTCAGGTCCCAACATGTGGCAGGTCCCAACACATTCTGCTAAGCGCCTCACTACCATGATCCAAATAGGGTCCCTGACATTCTGACTCTCTGATGCACCCTCCACTGAACCATTTATTATATGTTAAAGAACTTTGCCTTTGATAACCTATTGGCCTCTCCAGCCAGAAGAAAAGACCAATAGCAGGACATTCCCACGCTGACCTTTCACTGCTAAACAGATTCATCTTGGTCCAGGCAGTCTCATTCCTCAAGCAGCTCCACTGACTTCAGCTGGCAATGAAATGAATACTTGTAGTATGGTAATGCAATAAGGTGATACAATATGGGTCCACTGTTTTAGAAAGTAATTTAGGTTGGTCTACAGAGGTCACATTTACACATTCATTTGATCTGGCATCAGTTTACTTGCTAGTAAACTTCTGTGGATTAAGTGCTCCTGGGCAGGGGCCTACACATGCAGGGACTAGGCAATGGATTTGTTGCTCTTATCACCAAACTTCCTGCAGCCCTGCAGTGGGCCCCACTGGGGGGAGCTCCAGGCTCTGACTACAGCTGCTAGCAGCCAGCAGCCATCTTCAAAAGGCAGCCCCATTGGCTGCTCTCTGGCCAGCCAGCTCCCTGGCCAGGAGCAGTGTCCAGTACAGGGACAGCATGTGGCAGCTCTCTCCTTGCCCACTCAGCCAGCACTATGGCTGCTCTAGCCCCTGCCCCTGGCAGTGACAACCAGTGCCCCAGGCTTCTTCTGGCCGCTGTGCTGGCCCTGCTGGCCCACTGCACTGACCACAGCCTGGCCCATGGCCATCTGGGTCCTCCTGGCTCTGTAACATGCAGCCACTGCCTGCTTGGCTGCAGCGCACCATCACAGGGCCACCGCTGCATAGCTGTTGCAGGCAGGGACACTGATGATGGGCTTCTAGATGCCACTGCTGGGGCCACTGTCACCCTTCTGGGCCCTCCAGGCCAACCAGGACTGGTGGCTGCACATTATCCAGCCTACCTGGGATGATAAGCAGTGGCTGGAGATGTTCTGCATGATCTAGGCCACCTTCCAGGACCTCCTCAAGCAGCTCTGGCCCCACCTGGAGTGGCAGTACACTGCCACATGGCCACCCCTCCCTGTGGACACATGGCTGGCCCTCACCTTGCTCAAGTTAGCCACATCAGTCTCCACTATGTGGACCATCTCTTTGGGGTAGGCAAGGCCACCTCTAGGGAGGCTGTCAGGGATGTGTATCGTGTTCTCCAGAGTGTGCTGAGGCCCATCATGCTCCACATGCATGACCCCCTGGCAGTGGTGGTGGGGTTCCATGCCCTGGGCTTCCCCCAGTGCATTGGAGCATCAGGGCCTGGGATGAGACCCACCCCTGCTCATTGGGGACCCTGTCTACCCGATCCTGCCCTGGCTCATGTGACCCTACACCGACCACCAGGACCCCCACCAAGGCCACTTTAACAGCTGCCTGGGATGGACCTATACCCTGGTGGAGTGCACCTTCAGTCATCTCAAGGGATGCTGGTGCTCCTTCACTGCCCACCTTGAGTTCACCAAGGACAACCTGCCTCAGGTCATCGTCACAGCCTGCATGCTGCATAACATCTCTGAGGCCCAGGGGGAGCTGTTCCACAAGGCCTGGCCAGAGGAGGTGTGGCACATGGAGGCCTGGCAGAGGGAGCACCACCTGTGGTAGCGGCAGCAGGACCTCCCTGCCCCCTGCTGAGGCCTCGGGCAAGCTGTACACCCATCAGCAGCAGCCAGGGCACTGGATACAGGAGGCCCTGGCCAACCACCTCCTCCTGCACTCCCCATGAACCCCCCACACTGACTTCTAGCACCATGCTCAGTGCAGATATCTCATAAGAACAAGTTTTTATTCCCCTCGCATCCAACAAAGCCCCTCTCCCCCCCCCAATAAACAAAGCTCCTTCACCACCCACTCCATACACCAACAATAAAACACCCTTTTCATCGTGCAAACTATTTACAAAGTGCTTTGTGTGGTGTCCCGGGTTGGGGGCCATGGGTTGGGAGCACCTAGGGGGCAGAACCTGGGGAGAGGTGTCCAGCACTCCAGCCTCTGGCTGCTCTCTCTCTCTCTCTCTCCCCTCATGGCAAAATTGGGGAACTGTGGTCTCGACAACCTTATGTTCCAACGAATGGGGAACTGGCTCCATGGTCAGACCCTGAGAGTGACTGTCGATGAAACCGAGTCAACATGGTGCATGGTTACCAGTGGCATCCCCCAGGGTTCAGTATTTGAACTAGTACTCTTTGATATATTCATTAATGATCTGGATTCAGGTGTCAGAAGTGGACTAGCTAAGTTTGCAGACAACACAAAATTATGAGGAAGTACGGTCACGCTAGAAGATAGGCTAGCAATTCAGGCCGACCTGGACAGGCTCTCAAGGTGGGTGGACCAAAACCTGATGGCATTTAACACAGAGGAATGCAAGGTGTTCCACCATGGGCCCAGTAACTATTCACATATAAATTTGCTACTTGCATTTGCAGGTAGCAGATTTACACACAACTAGGGTTTTTTACTGCCCAGTAAATGTGTGCACATGTAGACATGTGTGCTTACTGCGCAGTAAACTAGGCTACTGTGCAGTGAAGTGTCTCATGTAGACATGCCCAGAATGTATTAAACACCTATTTTTCCATCTTTTTTAATGAGGTTGAAATGTATTCTTTTTTACAAGTTCCTTTCCTTATAACAGATAATAAAACAGCTGTTTCAGAGACAGAGAGAGACAGAGAAGTAGTATCATTTATTCAAATAATATTAAAACAATATTATAAAATATAAAGTAATGAAAAATATTAAAATAATAAACAAAAATTAAGCCTATCTAGGTGGGTTTCTTCACTTTAGGACTGATTTTGGGAACCAAAGATTGGATGTTTACTTCACTCATCTAAAGATGGACATTAGACTTAACTAAGGCAAAGATTTCCTATGCTAGAGCTTTGTGGGAGGCTTTTAATTACTTTTTCAAGGACGATATGAATCTCATATTTAAATTGCCTGAAAAATTAAACAGAGTTGCCACTTATATACAAAAATTGTGTTGTGCATATATAAAAATTGTAGTGTCAGTATGTTTACATTTCTTCTCTGGGTTAAACAATCAATCTGTTCTATAGATCTTAGAAGCATTTACTTCTGGTATGGCCAAAGTGCGGCTGAAAATGAATTCTAGTCATTTTCTGCTATGAAGTGGCATTTAAATACCACATTTTATTTTAGGAAAAACAGAAATGTAATTAACCACTTACATTTCCCAAAATTTGTCACAGTATGTTACTACCCAAGTCAAGCCAGTACAGGAACTCAAAAAAACCAGGTCAGACAGGCAAATCAACCTACAAGAAAAAAATGTAATAAAAAGTCAATATCCCTTCTATTCTATTCTCAGACACCCTGGTCAGACAGTCAATATAAAACAACATAAACTGGAGAGTCATTGCTGGCAGCAGTCCCCTTGATATGAGGATGATAGTGTTTGAGTAAATAGGGAAGTAATCTGAGAGTCCAAAGATGACTGAGAAGGTCAATCTGAGATCTGCATGTTTGACTGCAGACATGACAAATAGATGCTGGAGATCTCAGCTCTCTCCCTTTGTCTCTCTCATCTATCCACCTCCATAATGAGGCAAGTTTGTTCCAAAAATCAATGGTTTGTTGTACCATCACAGAATCATGGGAGATGATTCAGTGATCAAGTCTCCTGAGGACTGATTTCTTCAGATTCGTCTTCCAGGTGTCCTTGAATCTCTTCTTTTATCCACCTCTAGAATGGTGGCCAGTGGCAAGTTGGGGTATAGGACCTGTTTTGAGATCCAATTATAAGGCATCCTTATGACATGTCCTGTCCAACAGAGCTGGTGCCATATAAACATGGCTTCAATGCTGGTGATGTTTACTTGGGCCAGAATGTTGGTGATTATCCTTCTATTCTTCCAATTGATAGGGGGGATTTTCTGAAGCCATTGCTGATGGTAACTATAACAGGGAGACTAGCTCCAACCCTGTCACGGAGGTTTTGCAGTACTTACCCACCAGGAGTCCAGGAAACTTAGGGCAGGGAGATGATGTCATCAAGTGGCATCTCTCAGTGTCTAAAACCTCACACCTGTAAAGACAAAGAAAGAAGATGAGCCGGAAATGAGTGAAAGAGGGAAACAGCTAAAAACTGTCAGCAGCAAGGTTAGTTCCCCAGAAGGGGACAGAGAGAGATGAAGCAGCTGGACATGGTTGCTGTAATCTATATGGAGGCAGAGAACTTTACTGAAATACTGATAGTGGCTAAGACACCATTTGGGTGAAGGTGGGAAAAAAACTTACCTGAAAGAGGTGTGTGAGTTCTCTTCTTAAATAGGAGGCATCATATGACCCAGATATAAAAGACTGAAAGCTGGGAGGAATTTACTGAGGATTTGACTTTGAAATGAACTACATAACAGTCAGTATATTTATAAGAGTGACTTTAAGTGCAACCTATTAGGTTCTAAGTAAACCCACTGCAGCAGGAACCCTGCTATAATAATTACAGCTATAAGCTAACTACTTTGGTTTATATGCCAGCGATTTTTTTTTGTTACAATTTCTATACATATTCCCCCATCAAGGCGTGGCAGAAGAGTCTTCAAAGGAGGGCCAGCAACGTATTTACCAGGTCAGCTAAAAGCTTAAGAAATCCCCTGAACACCTGGCGCAATAACAGTCCAACTTTCAATGTTCCTAACATGTAATTCAAGTTTAACTCCCATACAACAGGGCAAGGATGACAATAGTCTGGTAGACAAAAAATCTGGTTTGGGTCCTGGTATCATGATAGTCAAAGAAACAAATTTCATAGATATCCAAAGACAGCACTGGCAGTTCATCTGGTGTTGAATATTGTCATCTATATTTACTTTCTGGGAAAAGCAGCTACCCAAGTAGGGGAAATACTCAACATCCTCCAAGGATTGCCCTCCAATTGTAATATGTGGAGGAGTAGCTGGTTGTTTTGGGATAGGTTGGTAAAGTAACTTAGTTTTTGTGGAGTTGACAGCGAGTCCAAGCAATTCATACAATTTGCAGAAGTCATCAAGAGTGACCTGGAGCTCTTCAACTGAGTGGGTACACACAATACAATCATCAGTGTACTGGAGATTAGTAATGGAGGTACTGGTTATCTCAGAGTTGGAACATAGCAGAAGATGTTCAAGAGATTCCCGTCCATGGAATATGGGATGCTGACTCTAGATAGAAGTCTATCAGAAATGAGATGAGGGATAGCTGTGATATAGATAGAAAATAGTGTTGGTGCAATCACACTTCCCTGATTGATTCTACTTCTAATAGTGAAGGATTCCATTTTTGAGCCATTTCTTAGGACAGCTGTTGTCATGCCACTGTGAAAAAGTATGTTAATAGTAACAAATTTTGGTGGGTATCCAAATCTCATCAGGATCTTCCATAGGACCTCTCCATTGATTGAATCACAATACAATCACTCCCTCTCCAATCTCTCAGTTCTAATCCTCAAAGGGAACGTACACAACACCTTTCATACATGAGCCTAAAAACTTCACTTGATAAATCTACTGGATACAAAAAATCATGGACTCAGTATTGACATTGGGTTTATGACACATTACAAACTGCCTGACATCTGATACACCAGCTACTGCCAGACCTGACCTCATACTTTTCTTCCCCCCATTTTCTCCCCCTCCCCTCCTTTTCTGCCCTTTGTGTTCCTAATTTCCAGCTATTTCCTTTTTCCACAGACAACTTCTTTTCTACCTTGAATTACAGCTACTGTAGAGGCAAGGTTCTTTGAGTAGATGTGATATCTTTTATTAGACAAACTGAGTAGTTGGAAAAAAAGTTTTTAGCAAGCTTTCGGGTACAATCATCCTTCTTCAGGCATAGAAGGTTTCTGCTGTTCTGAGACTCCAAGGAATGAGAGAAACTAAAAGTGTGACATGATGTCAGTGAGAATGTAAATAGGTAGAAATTAGGAAAACCAAAAGGTAGAACAGGGAAGGGAGTGGGGGAAAGCAGGGGGAAAAAGCCAAAGGTAAGAGAGACTCTACAGCATGAATGATGCATGCTCCTGGAAGTGGGGGGCGGGCACAGTGACTGCCCTTAGGTGGCAGTGGCGGTGCCATGGTGGTGGCGAGCAAGGAGCTCCTGCAGGCGGCCATGGCGGTGTTGGCAGTGGGGGGGTTGGTGAGCGCCGACCAGTGGTCAGCAACCACCTGCAGACACCGCTAGCTGCATTGGTAGTGGCCAGTGGTGATCAGCAACCGCCCACAGATGTCACCGGCAGTGTTGGTGGCAAAGAGGGTGGTGGTGAGCGGCGACTGCCCACAGGTGCTACCGGCAGCATCAGCGGTGCTTCTCTCAGGGGATGCACCGCCAATTTTAGGGGGTGCACATGCATCTGCGTGCGCCCCCTACGTGTTGCCAATGCTCTACAGTAGCAGTAATTCAAGGTAGAAAAGAGGCTGTCTGTGAAAAACGAAATAACTGGAAATTAGGAAGACAAAGGGCAGAAAAATAGGGAACAGGAGGGGAGGGGAGAAAGAAAAGTGTATGAGGTCAGACTCTACTACTCACAGAATCATATAAGTAGGGTCGGAAGGGACCTTGTAGATCTTCAAGTCCGACCCCCTGCCTGGGCGGGAGAAAAAACTGGACTCAAATGAGTCCAGCCAGGTAGGCATCAAGCCTCTTCTTAAAGACCCCCAGGGTAGGAGCCAGCACCACTTCCCTTGGAAGTCTGTAATTTCTTCCTTACTAACCTTACTCCCTTACTCACCTTTGGCTCCTCCCCCTGCTTTTTTCCCCCCTCCCTTCCCTGCTCTACCTTTTGTTTCCCTAATTTCTACCTATTTACATTATCACTTGACATCAACTTCAAACAGAAGCACACAGAATAAAATTGGAGAATACCTGAACAGCAAATCAACTATTCTGTGTATTGTCCTTTAGGAGACTGGATGGAATGATATAGTTGGGAAGTCCCATGGCAGGGGGAAAGGAAGTTGGATTTGTTACAGGACAAAAGGGGAGCAGAGAGCAACCAGCAGGAGTCCTGCAAGAAGAGAGAAAGTTAAGAAGTTAGGTTCAGTAGAGATGAACCGAGAGAGTCAGTGAAAAAACCACAATGGCACTAACAGTGGCAGTGAGAAAGACCAAAAGCTCCTGGAGAAAGAAAATCTTAGAAGTTCTTCCTCTTTCCATCACTCCATTATTGTGGAGAATGTAATAGAAATTCTGGAAAAGCCAGCAACTCACCCGAGGAAACAGCTGGGGAGTGTGCAGAGAATTCAGCTGCCCTGGCCATGAGGCAAAACAATCCTAAAAACACACTGGCAGCTCCACAGGTGTGCCAACATGTATTTCATGAGCTCCGGCTACCAGAAGTTGTCCTGGCAATGGGAAAGCTGACAGGTCCAGGAAGCACAGAGGCCGGGAACAAAAGCAAGCAGGTGGAATGCTGGAAGTGGGAGAGAGGGGAAGAAGGGCAACCAGAACTGCCCTGTGAGCAAAGGCTTGGAGGAAACTGCCCAAGGGGTGCAGAAGGCAGCAGAGACATGGAGAGCACATCGGTTGAGAAAGATGAGAGAAGCCTCTGAGATGTCAGCTGACCATGAGTACTGCTGGGCAGCAGCTGTGAGAGATTGCACCTGTAGACAGAGTTTAGGAAAGAGAAAGGAACGGGTAATCTGTTCCTTGTCCAGTATAAGACCACACTTGAGCCAGGTGCCACAGAATTACAGAGGGAGCAAACCTCAGAGTGTACCCTGACTGAAAGAGAAGAGGGTCAGAACCAGGTTTGTTCTGGTTCAAGCACTTAAGTGGATAAACTTTATTTTGCATTGGTCTTTAACTCAGTAAAAGACACCTTAAGGGGAGGGCCCTCAATTAGGTGGACCACTAGAGCTGAGGAAAAGCCCAGGCTACTGAACACTGACCATTTGGATTGGGGAGACAAGCTTTGAAACGGTGTACACACCCCAAGCAGGAGGGGTTATGACGACCATTTTGAGGACAGATGTTTTGTTTGGGTTGTTTCTCTGGAAGAATCACCCTTCCAGGCTGCAGGTAGCCCCTCCCCCATCTGTTCCATTTAACACCGATTTGTGACCTGTGCTGGAGACATTCCTGAGGGAGAGGGGACCTGCTCCCATTGTCTCCATTTCCACACCTCTGCAGGTCACTTGAGTAGTCCCCTCACCTGGGAAGGTGATGTCATTTGGAAGCACCGGGCAGGAGCTAATGGGGCTGCTTCTCGTGGGAACTTAGTGATGAGGGTCCCCATGAGGAAGGGGGAGGAGGCATTTTTTTGGAACATGGAGCAAGCACATGGCCTCTGGAGCTCTCTCAGACTCCAGATGAACATGTGAGTAACTTACCTGAATTTAGTCAGTAACAGTGTTCTAGAAACTTGTCAAAAGGCTACAAAGCAACTTCTGTTTGCTCAGGGTATTCTTTTGATACTTTTCTGATTTGTACCTCTCTCCAAGCCTACCCTCGCTCCCCAATAAAGTTATCTGCTATAACAAGCTTTGTGGTACATGCTGGAGAGGGAATGGGCACGCCTTTTTATTTCCTTGGCTTGGCTGACTAAGGGAAGCTACTTTCTGTGCTTCAGGTCAAAAGGAAGCACCCCAAGATCTCACACTGGGTCAAGCACCCTCAAGGTCTAGTCTACAAAGCCTGTGCACCCCAGAGGGCACAAGATCCAAGCAATGACCAGACCCTGGCTGGTGGTGGTGGTTAACCCCCAGGCTTGCAGGTGTGCTCCAGGAAGGGAGTTGGTCAGAAGTTGGCACCCCTGGGGTGTGACGGGGTGCAGTGAGGCGGGTGTTTTGGTGCAGGAGCACTCCCTTCTGGCCCGCCACAGTTTCCTTTTGTACTTACTCAGTTTCTGTTTCTTTACTGGAGTCAAACTCTACAAGACAATAGTAAGTTGCCAACATGAGGCATGCAAGCAGGGTGTAGAGGTGGGGAGAGCTCTGCAGAAGAACCTTAGCAGCGAAAATTGTCCTACAAGTAGAGGCTCAGAGGAAAACTGTGAAATTAAGTAGCCTCCTCTCACAAAATTGCATCAAGTCATGGCAGGCAAGAAATAGTGAGTAACTACAAACAATGACTCACCTGCATTCCAGGGATGCTGGTGCAGGTATGCTAGAGTCACTCGTGGACAGAGAGGGCTGACAGTAAGAATTTATTTTTTCCACTAAGAAAATTCCAGCATGATCCAATATGGAGCAAAATGAATTTAATGGACCATTTGACCAGTACTAAGACTTTCTAATAACATGTTGTGAACAATTAGGATTTCAAAAATATTTAAAAGAGTACGGGATTCCAAATGATCCTTTTTTCACTATACAAATAATGATGGGGTTTAAAGTATTAGTCAATGCCTTGCTCGATCCATGAGTTTTTGACTGCTACCAGATAACAGAGAAAACATAAGGGATTTCCTCTCTTCATAACTCTCTCATTAAATTTCCCTAACAGCTTTGCTTATAAACTAGTAGATATTAATATAGTGTTGGGAGTAAAAGTTTAGTAGGCACCATCCAGCAGAGGGAGCAGTGTAACTTTAAAAAAAATCACTTTATAAAGTGAAGGCCCTTCTGTATCAGATTAAGTTCCAGAGGGCTCACAATCTGCTATTCAACTGAGTCTCCTGCTGCTGCAAAAATGAGAGAAAAAGAAAGAGACAGAGAGTTCTATGCACAAACAGAAGACAAAAATAGTGGGGAATAAAAACAATAAAATGAATGTTCTGAATTTCATATACTAACAGTACTACTGTAACTTGCAATAGTAATAAAAATAAAATTTAAATAAGAGAGAATATTGGGGTGAAATCTCATGAAACAAAATCAAGTTTGTTTTAAAATGCTGATTTTAAAAGAAATAGATGGTATGACCGAAAGATTCAAATACTGTTTTCACTGAAATTACAGATTGCAGAAACATTTAAAATAGTCAGGATTTTTTTTAAGTGAAATTTTAAGGAAAGTGTTTTTAAAAATAAGATGTTTATATAAAAGGAATTTGTATATTATGCTTTAGTATAACTCCTTTTCTGTTAAAAAGCATTGCAAAAAATTATAAACCTACAATTAAAGTTTTGATGATTCCAGGTTAGATTAAACTAATATTTAAAAAAAGAGACTGGTTTTCCATTATTTTTCCCCTCACGGTATAATTCTAGGGTAGAATTAAGGTTACTGGGGAGCCTTGGTTGTGTATTTTCATAGGAACATGAATATGCTTTGATCTCTCTTATTTTGAATCTTCAAATTGCATTTTCAGATTTTATACTGCTTGATTTGGCGATAATTGCAACATTCTTGTGGTGGCTTTTAACCTTAAATTACTAATATGGATTTTCAATCTTAACTCCAATCCAACGAGTTTTTTTGTTCAAATTTTTTTTCAGTGTCCAGAATGATAAAAATCTCACCATAGTTGCTCTTGATCTTTATGTGATTATTAAGTACTCTGGTCTAATCGTGTTCAGATAATTGTGGTTTAAAAAGAAAAAATCCTCAAATGCTTCATTTGTAAGAAATAGTCATACCACTGTGAGAGAGCACTTCATATACTGAAAATTCTAAAAATACAGGAACTACAATAATTAGAGAAATATACACTGAAATAAACAATATAAGTCATTGCCACATTAAAAACAGAATGCATTGCATTAGTGTGGTTACAGCACAAGACTAGGAGTCACATTCCATTCCTACCTCTCCCATTGTCCAAATCATTGACCTTGGGTAACTCACAGCCTCTATAACAGAGCTTTCCCTCTCTGTGGAATGAATACTTACTTCAGAGTAGTGCTATGTGCTTTCATGTTTGTAATAGTTCCTTGGCCTTCTGATGGACAGCACTAATGAAATAAAATAAAAATGAATGTTCCAGTCAGAAACACTGAATAGATATAGGCCAAGAAGCAATTTTATTCAATTTTGGCATGTTTTATAGACTTTACTAGGATTTAAATAACAAGACAACTTAGAAGAAAACTAATTTAGTACTTTGCAGATACATATGTTGAAAGTTCTTTTCATGAACATGCAATAAGATTAGTTGCTGGAACAAAACATCTTAAGTCACAGAATGGAAAAGTTGGCCAAATACAGCAGGTTTTGCGCTTTTATTTTGTATTTTATTTTACTGCTTGATCATAAGCCATTTAGAACTTCAGGGGCAGGTACCAGAGTCAAAAATTAGATCCAACCTTAGAAATCCACAGTACTTATGCAATGTAGATTACTCATGCAACTAAACTGTGACAGTATCACAATGACAACCATCTAGTCTAGAGGAATAAAAAAAAGTGGAATCCAAGTTGCTGCTATCACTGCCTTTATATGGAAGCAACAATGCAGGCTGAAAATGGAGGCTTCAAACCATGAACCATGCATGCTCCAGGCAGCTGAGAGGGTACGGAGGTTCTAGTGGTGGCGGGAGCACGGTGGCAGTAAATGGGGAGCTCCCACAGACGCTGATATGTGGGGAGGAGTGGGGTGGTGAGTGCCGACCAGGGGTTGGTGATTGCTGACAACCTGCAGCCGGTGGTGTCAGCGGTGAGGGGCAGGGGTGGTGAGCGGCAACTGCCTGCAGGCACCGCTGACAGTGTCGGTGGCGCCTTTTCGTAGAGGGTGCACCCCGTATCCATCATCAATGCTCAAACCCACAGCCTTGTCCCTTGTGCATTCATATACATCAGAATAAAATATGCCCAATGCTAGTGTAAAGTATTCCTTTTTGATTTAGGATATAAAATATCTCAGTGCACTTCGCTTTTGACAGCAGCCTGCACATCTATGTTCGGGGTTTGAATCAGCTGCAGCAGTATCAAGCTGGCTGCATCAGTGCTTAAAACAATTAATCCCCCATAAACCTCCAGTGTTGGCAGAGGCCAAGGTTGGGTATTGCAAGTCAGCAATTCCATTTATCTACATCAGCAATTGTATTTACTCAAATCCAAGACAAGGATTTCTACTCAAACAATATAGGCTCAGGCGGAAGCCTGAGCTGAGCCGCTACCTGCACAAGGCCAAAATGGCTTGTTTGGTGGGGAAAGAGGCATGTGACTGGGGGGGAGTGCAAGGGCAACCATGGGATGTGGGGAGGGGAACATGCAGCCTGCCTCCTCCACCTCTTGCCTCCCCCCTGGCCTGGCCAGGAGCTGCTGCCACTACTCTGACAAGGCTGCTGCTGACTTCCTTAAGCCAAAGGAGAACTGCAGCAGAAGGTAAGGAAGGGGGCTGGGCACGGAGTGGTGAGGCAGACACAGGCACAAGGGCTAGGGAATGGAGGGGGCAGATTGCAGGGGACAGCAGAGGTGGGGGAAGCATGGATTGGGAGGCCAGGCATAGGCACAAGGACAAAAGCAAGGAGCTGGCAGGAGGCAAGTACAAGCACAGGGGAGATGCATGGCAGGGGGAACATGGCAAGAGGCAGGCACAGTGGGAACAGGCACAAGCATGGTGGGCAAGGGGCAGGAGAACCAGGGAAGGTCTGGGGGGTCTGGTCCCACCACTGTTTTTCCCACCATAATCGTGGGGGGTTGAATTTAAGATGACCTTCCATTAATCAGATTCTATACACAGAATATTATAATTTTCCATGTATAGAATTTTACTATTGGGAAGGGTTGTTTTAAATTCACAATTGTCATGGATTTAGATAAATAAGGTAATTACTGATATTTAAGCCATTGATATGATTTCTCCTAAATATGGCTTGATTTATACGTTTCATGAAGAAAGGCACACAAAAAAATCAAAGTCTGAAGACGCAATATATTGCAGCATATTATATAAAGACTGTATGGAATCTAATATGAATTATATTAATTTGTAAAATTTGAAACACACAAGGAGGAAGAATTAAGGCTAAGTCTGCTTTACAAAATGCTGTTGGTATAACTGTCAGCTAGGACAGTGAAAAAAAAATGACATGTCTATGTTGGTAAAATCCCTGGTGTAGACACAGCTTTCTAATACAGGATTTTGGTGTATGGTGCATTTCCACTAGGGGGCTCTAACAACATGCAGGATTGGTAGTGCACACAAGAACTAAAATTAATCTTTAAATACTATATTTACTTGAATGCTTCATTTCTATCTAGGGATTTCTCTCTATTGAGGGTTTTATATAGTGCCCATCACACTGGTATCTAAGTATTTCCTTTACTTTAACTATGCATTATCACTGGCTGTTTGAGTGAATTATCTCATTATTGCTGCAAAAGTGATATTATGCTCCATCCTGGCAGCACACAAGAAACACATATTAAAAAGACAATACCCTATTAGCTGCTTAAATTCCAACAGATTTTTTGAGTGTAATAGCAGTACTTTTAAAACCTATATTCTTCAAGAAAGTCAGTTTAGTTGCCACCAAGGTACAAAGTCTTTAAGTTTTGATAAGCATCTAGGATGCACTGTAACTATTAAGTTTCTATGAAACATAAATCTCTCTAGTGTCAAATGTTTTCAACATAAAGCTGTTAGGCACAGAAATAGTTTCTTATCTGGAAGTAAACATTCATATCAACCTGTTTTGCAAAATACAATAGAGAAAAAACAGACTCATGAACAGAAAGGAAGAAAAAGAGAAATATTTTTCATTCATAGGCCGTTGTGGATGCAGCAAACTGGTTCATGTTTATTATGAACTGTCCTGTTTCTATGAAACTCCTTAAAATCTATTGTGCCTACTGAACATAAGAAAATGTACTTGTAAAAGAACTTTGAACATGTGCCTGATCTCCATTAGAGAAATGTGAATGCCCATTATGGCAATTATAGAGTTAAAAAAAATGCAACATTGTAGATTCCCCACTTTCTATAATTCATCATACTATTTTTTCCTTTTGTATGTGAACACTATACTACAGAGGTTATATTCATTAAGGGACTTAGGGTATGTGTATACTGCATCTAGCAGTATAGTATGGAGATACCAGAATTCACTGTAAACTAACTCAGGTAACAGCAGCTGTCTAGATATAGTAACACAGAGATCCTTATGGGCTACTTTACCTTGAATTTAGTCTCCAATTTCCCCACAACAAAACTCCTGCTCAGCTGCCATGTAATCTTGTAGAAACCTGAATTCCTTCATAATAAATTTCTGCCAATGGGCAAGTGCAAATCTACCTACAGTTCTGACAATGCCAAGGTATTCTGAACCCCAATTCACATCTAATCCCCGCAGGATTCTCAAATTATGTCTTACCTCACCTATGATGCCTGACTTTCAAAATGTTCAAACAGCGCAAGACAGAGCCAGACTGGCAGACAAACATTTCATTTTTACTTAAGAGTGCAGTGGGGAGGGCATTCACTTGGAGGTAGGAGACCTGTTTTCAAATCTCAGTTCTGCCTGAGTTGGAGCAGGGAGCTGAATCCAGAGCTCCTGTCTCCCTGGAGATTGGCCTAACCATCACTGGCCCAACTTGTCTGAATCTTTTCTTGGTGAAGCTGTTCCACTTTATACAAATAAATAAATAAGTTTGCATTAAGAGAGAATAAAAATGAGTGATCAACTGAACAGCTTGGCTGTTAAGGCTTGCCTACAATGTAGAAGAATCGAGTTCAAGTCCCTTCTCTAAAATAGGCAGAATGGCGATTTTAACACAGGTCTCCCAACTCTCAGATAAGTGCTTCCCCACCACATATTAAACTACAAGGCCTAATGGTTTCTCTTTGTCTTCACAGCTTAGAATCCCAGAGCAGTGATGGGGCCTCCCTCCAGATGCCTAACCCTGGTACTTCTTCCTGGCCAGAAAAAGTCAGCCTAGCTTGCTGATTTTGAGGATCCCTTTCTTTAGCACCTAACTCTTCATATCATGTAGAACACTCACATGTCTAACAGGGAAATGCCACTAAGTACCAGGGCACATAAAATTGTGGGAATTTAGCTGTCACTTGCTGTTGTTTTTGAATAAAGAAGATCACCTGCAAATGGACAAGGTTTAAGCTATTTAAAAACCAACAACCCCCCCAGTTTTTATCTTATAAAATGAGGTAGTCCTCAGTCAAGCTACTATCAGGGCAACATGCTGCATCAGAAATATAACAGCCTCTCAAAAGCAAAGGGCATCCTGAGCTAATACAAACAAAAGCCACTGCCCAACTATGCAGTATGTGCTTAAATATTATACCTTATAGGTATGGTAGCAGCTGAGGAAGTTCTACGATACTTGGCCATAGGTTTCTGTTTTATTTCTTCCCAGGGGGGTCATCTACAACAGTACCATTAACACAAATGGGAATCACACATGGACAGAGGGTTCAATATAGTGTCAGATAGTGAATTGCCTACATATTGTTTAAACTTTGTTACAGTCGTTTAATAAATTCTTTACAATTAATACTGTATTGAGAACTAAAATGAATTCTGCTTTTAAGATTTCCTGTTATATGGAATCCTGAAACAGGAAGAAATGAGAAATGAAACATCTAAAAATATAACTTGTGTTCTAGATGTGATTATTAGCCTCATCTAATTTTTACATCAATCGATTTCTGAAGCTCTTATTTTATTGATCTCCAGCTAACATCCACTCCATGCAAGGCTAACAAACGCTGATAAAACAATTTTAAACAAATTGCTTTTTTGCAACAAAAGATTTTTCATCCAGTTATAGCGGACTTCCCAACTGGGCTGGCACACAACGATGATCTAAAATGGAGCCACAGTGAAAAATATTTAATTCCCAGACATATTTTCATTATTCTCAACTGGAAGAACATAGTGAGAATGTGCTATTAACTCACCCTTTCTACCTAAGGATTTTATCAAATACTAAGTCAAAGATAGGACAGGATAATGAATAAAGCCTACAGCATTTTAAAAAATCCTTTAAAATAT